AGTTAAACTTGAAAAGTTTGTTAGAGTATGAAAGTCTCCCGTACCAAATCGAAGTGTTTTGCTGTTAGTTTAAAAGATTGAAATTTATGACCGCAACCTGGAACTACTCATATTATTTGTCCTAGTTTTTGTGAATGTAAAGGTTGATTTTTGTGTACTACACGACTAAGTTCGGTAAGAGTTGGGCAGTTCATGCTAGAGTGTATTGACGATGTCTCGCGGAAAGTCCAGTATCAGAAGCATTTTTTATTGAGGGATATAGGCTGAAAACAAAACTAAGACAGAGATACGCGGTGGAGACTGTTACATGTATTTATTTTCGTGGTTGCTAAAGTAGAAAAGAATAGGGTTTTTAAATGATTCCGGAACATCTTAATTCCGTAAGAGAAAAAGTCCCCGGGAAACAGAAGTTTCTAACTTCCCGAGTATTCCGCAGTCAATAATCTTATTGCAAGGCGACGGCAACCCTACCGCCTATTCAAGGAAGCGATGAGGAAATCACGATAGGCGAGATTACATTCCTCCAAAATAAATATTTTCATCAATATGACTTAGTTTCGTTTCTCTTCTTCGTGGACACAAAAGCACTTGATTTATTATTCAGGTATCGCCTTTACTTGCTTGAATTATTGCTGTTTAGGTAAACAGTTAATTAAACAGTTAATGGGCTTCAAATCAGAGTTGTGAAGTTTCAGAGTTGGTGGAGTTTTATGGGCAAACGCATTACGACTGTCATTTTCGGTCGATTTGAACGTTATCGATGGTTATAAGTTGTTTGTTTACTTTCGTTATATCTTTTTTTAGACCAAATGATACTTTGCATAATTATGCTACTACTTTTGTGAAGGTGCAATGTCGCATGATCATTTTATACAGTATGTGCTATGCCGTAATTATGGTGGTTGTATTCGAGGTGTAAAGTTCTTTTCTTTTTCGACAAACAAACCCTGCAATATGATAACGAATTTTGAACTGGTGTCTTTATTAAAAAGTTTGGAATTCTGCAGTCTTACGGCCTGCTAGCGGAAAGCGGTAATTTTTACGGCATTTTTACTGTCACAGTTTTGATGAGATAACGTAGTGGTTTGGAATCAGTATCTCTCGCTCTCTCTAAATAAAGCATTGACAATAAAACCAAACAAATTATTTACCATTTAGACTACGCAACCAATGTCAAATCATAGTACGACCAAAACCAAAGTAATTACCTAATTACTTTCCACACTCAATTGAAAACCGCTCTACCTGTTACGAACACCAGCCATATGATACTGAACAATACTACATTTTAAAATTATTCCTCTCTATTTCTTTTATATGTTCCGTAACTGACTTATAATATAAAATAAGCTTTACCTCGCCACCCCCAACCTCAAAAGACCTTGGAAAGAAATAAAAGGCTCAATAAGGTCCTCGTGACTGAACACTGTGTTGCCATCTTTCACCAGCTACGTGGAAATGGCTAAAGGCGAATCTACGTTTGGGGAGACCGCGTTTGTCGAAAAATATGCATTTTGGAGTTAAAGTATTAGGAAAAGTACTTGTGTAAATGTTTTATGGTTCGGTTCAGATAATCAGTCGGCTAGATAGCCAAAGTAAGTTCCAGATGTTTACACTATTTTCCAGCCGCCATATTGGAGGACTAAGGAGGTTCCCCAACATAGCGGCTCCATACTAGACTCTATAATTTTGCGCGGAACATTTCGAAGAATATCTCAACTTTGGGACAACGCACACATCTTAAACTTGAAGAACTGTCTTCTTTATTTATCTTCTATAATATCACAATTTCTTGACATTATCCACTGAATGGTTTTTGATTTTATTTTTTATTACGTGACAATGAACACACTCTATAGGGGGAACTGCGTCATTGTGTAATCAAATTCTCCCAACTAATGACGAGGTAATGTATAGATATTGGAATGCGTAGTTTGGCCTAAAACGTAAATATACAGTTATCTACCCTTGAATAACCTAGTTCTTCTTTCAGATTATCAAAATGTTTTGATCTTTGTGGTTTCCGTCTTATCCAGTTATCATAAATTTAACGGTGTTAATTAATGCCAAAGACATTGAACATCGATTGTTTGATTATAATCTAGTAGCTCAGCATTCTAGAACAGTAACAGCACTAACAGGTTTCTAAAACACTAACAACACTAGTTGAAAACGTTCTGCCTGAAGAAGGCATGATAATTTTATTAAAAGTCTTAATTACATCATGCATTATGAAGCACAGAAGCAACGGCTAGCCTAAAGGTGGGTTTTGTTTTATGTTTCAGTGTTCTTTCCGTGTTCTAGTTGTGCTTCGTAGAAAAGGAATGTATTATTGAATGTGACTTTTATCAAGCTTTTCGGTAGACTACGAGTAGTCCCTCTTTCGCTTAGTCTGTCGCGCGTGACGCGAAAGAAAACCGCAAGAAAAAATGCCGCGCGAAATCCTGAGGGCGAGGAGCGCTCCTCGCCCCCAGGATTTCGCGCGTCACGGACGACGGACTTTGTCTAGCTTTTCGGTTAAGAAACGTTTATTTAATAAAGTGGCGTCTTACTCCAAAAGTATCTTTCTCTCACTTCCGATTCTCGCAATTAACCCATGCCTTTCCCCAAATTCCGGTAACCTGCACGCATAACACGCTTAGTTCAATGTTTTGTTTTAGTGGTTCAATAGCCCATTGCAAAAACGTGAGAGGACTGGGAAAGAGTATGGTTGTTTTCCGTTTGTTTGAAAAACTAAGATATTTAAATGAAAGATCAACTGAATTTGAGAGTCTTAAGCAAGAATAGAAGTATTTAGAGGAGGAAAATGGCAAAATGATAGCTCTTCAAATATCACCTAAAATAGAGAGTTTGTATGGGTTGGGTAGACAGGCCACAACATTGTAAGGGTTTGTATGGAATCTTGCAACTTTTGCAAGGCTCCCATTTGGACAATTTTCCGCTGAAAACTCTCAAACTTGATTGGGTAGCTTTTCATTCAGCAACATTTCAGTTGAAATGTTTAGATTTTCAATCTAATCAATATAAGAAACTCATCCCAGTCCTCTCACGTTTTTGCAATGGTTTACACTTGAAATAGGCCCTTTGCACGATCCGGTCACATGGTACAAAATCACACATGCTGGTGAGCAAGTTGCGCAGTGGGACTTCCAAAACAATGCAATTCGTACCAGTACACCTGGACCTGCCTTTGGTTTGGAAGTCCCACTGCGCAACTTGCTCACCAGCATGTGTGATTTTGTACCATGTGACCGGATCGTGCAAAGGGCCTATTGTTCTGCGCTGTTTGTTTCGACATACCGTCCGCAGCGATACGGAAGCCGTTTTATCATGGCAAACTAATCTGTTTTTTTTTTTGTACCGAAAAAGCCTGAAAACGATCGATACCTGTTAGGAAAGGTGCCAAACGTTTTATCCGCTTTATTAGATGTGCTTCATACGGAAATCCCGAGATTTCTACCTGCAATACAGGACATTTCTCTTTTCCAAATTTAACGCTTTCGCGTCTAGCAGCGACATCAATCGCTACTAATATGGGTTTATTCTACACAAGTGATGTTAGACGACAAATAGCAGATATCAACTATCATGAATTAGTTCTAGCGTTCTATCACGAATGCTGTTCTCTGATTGGCTATGCTACTCACTATCTATTCTGTTGTAGATATTGAGTAGGGAGGCAGTGTGCGGTTTTGAACAGAATGACAGCCGCTTCTTCGCGTCTGTGAAAAGGATTTAGATAGAGTTTTCAACGAAATCGAGAGCGAATAATCTAACTCGGACGTTTGCGCGAAAACTTTCCAACATTGATTTTTTTCTGAGACGTTTACCACTGTTAGATGATGAGTTAATTATGTCAGAAATGTCAAAAAAAAAAAAAAAAATGGGGGGTCACCGACTTTGTTTTGGAGAGAACATGCCCGGAATAACATCCTAAATCTGAACAAAATCGGGCTTCGTTAGCGAATAAGGCCACAGTGTCTGTTAGCCCAAAAATATCGCAATTAGATCTTTGAAGTGAAATGTTCTCTCCCAAATATTGTTTAAGTGGACCTATTAAGTGAATTTAATCAACTGGTCAGGTTCCTTAAAGACCAAGTTCGCATTTAGCGACCATAGTTTCACGCGCCTTGTAGCCGAAAGGTGGCAGGATTCGATGTCCCGTGGACGGAAATCTTGAATTCTTTTAACTTCCCACATTGATTTTTTGTTCATTTTTGGACAATGTGGGGATAATTGTGAATAAAATCTGTTTCTAGAAAGAAAAGTAGGGGTCACCGAACGTCCAAGATCGTTAAATCCAGGCAAAGCTATAGCAATGGTCATCTGCCCTATCATTGTTCATTTTGTTGCTTAGCGCGCGCTCTCATGCATGACGTGGCGGTTGGGGCATAAGTGAACTAATTCGATTAATCCTGTCCTAACTTGTCTTCTTTAGATGGAACCCTTGTGTTTAACCATTCAAATAAAGCTATGCTCTCGTGTGATGTTGTTTACTATGTTATGCAAGATACCATTCAAGTGAAAGCTGTAGTTAAGAGCCGTACTTTCATGTGGTGTTGGTTGTCGTTTTTTTTTTTTAAAGTTGAGATTCGTTTTTGAATCATTTCATGTTTAAAGAGTATTAACATTGTATCAAAAAACTACGTTCGTGTGAGGCAAAGCACGGCTGCACACGTGCACGCGAAAAATTCTTCGAAGAATTCCTCGTGGTTGCACTCTTTACGTTACTCAACCTGGAGTGACAAACTGTAGCATTTATTGATAAGTTTTGTTGTTGTTTTAAGATGACTTGTTTCAAACAGAATGAAGGCAATAGGTTCCTTTGTTTGCTGAGATTGATGCAACACAGCAAGATTGATCCCTTTCTTCTCTCTACAATTACATTGGGGACATTTTTATTTTATCAAGATGGATTGGCCGACATAGACAGTACTAGTCTGGTACATGTTTTAGCTAACTGAAAGTAGTGAGCATGCAAAAAAGTTCACACAATGGGATAGCTTGTCAAAGTTTATTTTGTTTAATTATATGTTCATCTTATTTATAATAAATAACCCAAGACCAAGATACCTCCAAAATAAAATCCATTACCACTTTTTTCCTAGTCAATAATTTACTTGAAACGCTACGTTTTAATTTGGAAAGTTTCCTAAGCCACTAGCTTCAATTTAGCTAAATTCAGGTAAAGCTAGGTCGACTAAGCATTAACTTAGAGGACTATTCCGTCCTTTTGTCTCTACCAAGTGCACACTCTTACTCTCAGTCACCCGGCTCATAGATTTTTCAGACTGGTCCCAAGTTGTTTATCGACAACCAAAGCCTAAACAACAAGCACACAACTTGAGCCTTTTATGATGCCTGTTCCATATAAAAATAACTATTTGACGTTGTCTAAGACTGTTCTCACTTCTCCTATATCAAAGTGATATTTTGGTTTTATGAGAATTCTAAAACATGGTATGACTAAAAAGAGATCAGTTCGATTTTACATTTTGCAGTCCCACAACTCAAGGTGTTAAAAGGCGACAAATATTTTATAGTCCGATCTTTCTGCCAAAATACTTGAAATAAAGGATACCATGGTATTGAAAACTACATTGCTTGCCTTGAAAAAAACTATGTATTAGAAAACTGTTGAGATATCAATTTTTTTATTATATCTGGTATCCCTCATTGCAGTGGATGACAACTTTGATTGCTCCTCCAGCACCGGTTCTAGAGGTCTCAAAGGCATCTAGAGACTGCTCCAGTTTGAAGTGATGAGTCATAAGTGGTTTGACATTCACTGCTCCAGATGCAATCAGTGCCAAGGCTGTAGGGTAGCTGTGACACACAAAAAAATAAAATTATAATAACTACTTGAGGTATGAACAGAAAAATCTCAAACCGAGACCATGCTGTACTGACTGAGCGATAGCAAGGTCAATTATGGCAAGGTCGAGATTTGAGATTTTCCTGCATTGCTTTATACTCTGTCTTTGCAGGCCCATAATCGGCCCAAGGGCATTATGGGAGATAATGCCCTATCATAGTAAATGGTTTGAACCCAGGAGTATCAGTAGTTCGTATAGTGTGATCGTCCGGGTGAGTGTAGTTCTGAAAAGAACTGTTGTTGGTGACTGACGTTTCGACAACCTGAGCGGAAGTCATCNNNTGAACGTAGCATAGTAAATGGTTTGAACCCAGGAGTATCAGTAGTTCGTATTGTGTGATCGTCCGAATAATGACCCAAGTAAGGGAATACCAACAAATTTTCCATTTGAACCACACAAAGGTGATATCACCATATTCAGCTTACCAGTTAACATATCGAAAAATTCCTCTGATGTCCACTTCTCTAACCAAAGCATCCACAATGGGAAATTGCACAACTGCCTTCCCCATCCCAACTACCACAAGTGTCCCTCCTGACTTGGTTGCCTAAACATTAAAGAATGATGATGCATATTACAGAGAAGTAAAATAAATAAATGAAGAGGAATAAAATGTAATAAAAAAATAGAAATAAAAACACAAATGCTAGACTTAGCACTGCTGTGCTAATTGCAGACAATGTGAGTGAACAAATAAATGTATTGAATGTAGAATAGTTTTGCTTATCACCTGCTACAGGGGAAGGGGGTTGGAGAGGGCATAAGTACTGGCAACTGATGACATTAAATTTATCCAAGAAAGTTATGACCCCATGATTGTCTTTTAAGGCTTCAAAGTTGGGATAGGTGGTTGAGACGCACAGCTCAACAGAGTACCAGGCTGAAATCATTCAAAAGTAGATGATGATTATTGCCAGCAACTGGTTGCTTTTGATAACCCAGTGACCTATATTTCAATTCCCTCATTCTTTAATCTTTGGTTATGAGGTTTTGGTGTTACATCTTAGTCCTGTCCCAAATTGATAACTTTTTGTTGTTGCTGTTATATGACAAAGGGAACAGTTGATAATCATTACTTTTAGAAACATCAAAGGGTCAACTAACATGAATTGCTGTATGAAAGCTAGACTCGGCTCCAGTGCATTCAATGCTTTGATCAGCCAATCCCAGGCTATTTACAACTTCCTTAGCCAAGGCACGGCTATCTTTGCCAGGATCTACTTTGATGATATAGTCTGCACCAAGTTCCTTGGCTTTATTTAGCCGGCCTTCATCAAGATCTGAAAGACAAACAGTTGACAGTTGATCACTTAGAGTAGATTGATGTTCTTAATTAGGTATCTTTGTTGATCAAAGCAAACTTCTATTTGGCACAAAAACAAGTCTGAAGATATCTTTAGGCAAGTCGGCATCATGTGTTCCAAGAAGTGAGCAGTGTCTGAAAGAAATCTTAATTAAACTATGACCTTCACAAAGAATGTTGTATTCAAGGAGAAATATTTAAACATGCTTGTAAATTACAATATTTATATTTGGAGAGGAAGCCAAATCAGTCCAAGCTGGTGTTCACACAGGGCTGACTATCCAGGTCAAAATGGAATTTGGAAATGTTGGTTTTTCCAGGGAGGAAAACTGATCAGAGTACCCAGAGAAAACCCCTTGATTGACAGGAGCTAAGCAAAACCGAAATGTATGAACCTGGCTATATTAATGGCAGTCAAGCTCTCTTGCCATTATGTCATCACTGCCCCTCCCCCCCAAAAAAAACATAAATAAATATATAAATAAAAATCATAAAATCGTCTTGAATTCCACAGTCATGCTTGTGTCATGTAAGCCATGCTCTCAGGTTAAAAAATCTCAGGTTAAAAGTTGGCAGGTAATGATTATTAGTATGGACAACTTATAAACAAACATGGCTGGTAATTAACAATAACAGCATTCACCTGTGATGGCCACTTTGCTTGCACCACAAGCTTTGGCAGTCATAAGGTTCACTAAACCGATTGGACCTGCAAATATCATAACAGCAAAACACATGTAAGTTAAGCAAATGAATAGAGGGGGTATGTTTCTAAAGAAACTGTGGTGCTGTGTCGGTGGGGATTATAACAAGGTAATTTGGTTTTATCAACCGGGTTGATAATGTGAATTGGGCACCGTAAAGAGATTCGGTGGCCGATTCACATAATTTATCAACCCAGTTGATAAAACCAAATTATCTTGTTAAACAGATTTATTATTTCTGGCACTAATAGCAGCCAGTACTTTGATGACAGATTTATTGACCAGTATGCCATCGTAATTAAGCTACAACTCCTTACCAGCTCCGCAAACCAATACATTGCTTCCAATGGAGATACCAGCCCTACGACAAGCATGTACTGCAACAGAGAGTGGTTCAAGGAGAGCTCCTTCCTCAAGTGATACATGATCAGGAAGCCTAAAGGAGTGGAATCACTACATCAGGCACGGTGTCATCCTTATTTAGGGTATCCATTTTGCACCCAAGCTATTTAGAGTGGCTTAGCGCTGCATGGACTCAAAATCAGATTGTTCCTATTGTGCAGTGCGAAAGTATTTACCAAATGAATGTACCATGGTTTTGAATCATATACATTATACAAACTGTGACACAGGGGTTTCATTAACAGCAGGAGGGCAACTGGTTTTCACAGGCGAGTGAAACTATTTAAACTGAACTTCTATTATAAGAAAAAATTTCCTCCAGATGGTCTAGCCAGGCGAGCAAAATCGTCTTGACAACCCCCCCAATTTGCAGGGTGTCCGTCCGTTAATGAAATCTCTGGTAACAATCAAATATATCTAATAATTTGCAAAGTATCTTCATTTCAGTGGTTGTTTACACTGGTTTAAAGCCTTTTGGGGATGACTGTGCAGGATAATCTGAATCATAACTTACTTATAACAAAAGTCAGCAGCGTGAACATAGTATCTGCACAGTGAGCCATCATATGGAGGCGTAGCAGCAAACTTCATTTCTGGACATAAATTGTAACGACCTTCCTTGCAAAAGGAGCAAATCCGACAGCCAACTCCTGGTTCAATGGCCACTCTGTCACCTTGCAGCCCACAAAAATGATTGAACAAATGAGATCAACACTTTTTAGTTATATTAATTTTATTTGCAAACAGCATAACACCAAACTGAAACTACATGTACTTACAGTACAAATTACTACCACCCTTGACAATTTGGTCCCTTGCAAATACTTACAACATGGTTACATTGCACTGTACTTACAATGTAAATGCTGACACAACCCCACCCAGGGAACACAACATACAATGATTGACACTGCTTACAATGCAATTTACATAACTGCTTCAAGACTATGTTGTACTTAAACCATTATCAATATTGCATCGCATTTCTTTCAGTTCTACTTACCCTGAAGAATACATGGCCCCTTATGGAAAAGCAGTATGTAAGTGATAATAGTGGGCATAATGGACTTACCAACTTTGAGGTCTGTGACCCCTTCACCAAGAGCAGACACTATCCCACTTGATTCATGCCCAAGAACCATAGGTGCTGTGAGGATAAAGTCCCCAATTCTTCCCTTCTTCCAGTAATGCACATCTGAACCACAGATTCCAACAGCATGCATTGCAATTTGCACCTCTTTAATTTGGAGAGAAATGGAATGAAGTTAAGTTTTTTCAAAAAAATATAACATGAATTTGAATTAATTAACATGAATTCTGGTAACAAGCTGGGAAAAGTGCATCTATTTTTTTCACGTGATGTGATAGCAGGTATAACCACAGGAACACAGAGACATCAAAATACCGCAATACAAAAATATGGTAAGCCACTTTTATTTCAATTATGTTCTAAGCGCATAGCACTTAGAACAAGTTCTCATACCTACATTGTCAGCTGATAAACAACTAAAATTGTAACGCAATCGCCAACAGCACTATGTCACGTGTTAGGGAGTTTAAGCAAATCAGTACGGCTGGTGCTACTATGGCTGCCGTGACTGAAAAGGCCTGGGGATAGTACGTCTTGGTGGTCTTCCAAATTTTAAGTTTAGCGAGCAAAGTGAAATACAAAGATGAAAGGAACATCAGCTATGGAGTTTAAAATCTCTTTTATTCAGTTTCTCACGGCCAAATGGCTTCGCTCAAAGGACAATGGCCGTTATTCGCCTTCCTAGGACGAAGAGATTATTTCTGAACGAAAGCGAATGCCATACACTTTGTACCATAACAATTTGATGGATGAAATATATAATTTCAGAGACAAATATCTCAAAGACTATCGAGTGAAGAACACAAATATTTCAATACTCAAAGAAGCAAAAGAGCATCGTATAGTTATCCAGATATAAAACACCTTCACTAAACCCTCAAAGCAAACTTAACCAAGGAAAAACAACCTCGTGCTCAACACAAATATTTCACTTGACTCTCTTCACCATTCCAACACCTTTGCCAAAACTCATCATAAATTCAGGATAAGGATTTACAAGCTTATGAGAAGCAACTTTGACACAATCTTTGACTTAAATTGACTTTAAAGGATATAGTATCCAACGGAATTCTGAAAATGCCAAGATGTCGGTTGAAAAGGGCCAGAGAAGCGAAATAAACCCGACATAGTAGCCACTATGGCAAAACATCCCGACTCATGTAGTCCAATCTCGTTCCCAGAGCCTTCATTCCCCTTGACCAACAGTCGGAAAACGAGAGCTCTGGGAGCAACCATTTTGAAATAACTGAATTCTGGTGATTGAGCCTATCTGGCAATCTCATTCCCAGAGTCTTTATTCCCCTTGACCAGCGGTCGGAAAACGAGAGCTCTGAGAGCAACCATTTTGAAATAACTGAATTCTGGTGATTCAGCCTATCTGGCAATCTCGTTCCCAGAGTCTTTATTCCCCTTGACCAGCGGTCAGAAAACGAGAGCTCTGGGAGCAACCATTTCAGGCATGCGCCATAGATGCAGACTGCGCAGTGACACCGGTTAGACAGAATCACCAGAATTCAGTTATTTCAAAATGGTTGCTCCCAGAGCTCTCGTTTTCCGACCGCTGGTCAAGGGGAACGAAGACTCTGGGAACGAGATTGCACGTAGTCAGAGTTCACGCTACGGCTGGACGTACATGCGCAGTGTCTCATTTTGGGGGTAATTTACTTCCGGTAGCCGTATCAACGCCAGCGGTAGCGATTTGCCTAAAGTCTCTAATAATTGATCATGTTCAACAGTGGTATACACGCAAACAAAAAGCCCTGCAAGTAATGCATTCTGGCTCTTGTCGTTTCAAATTTCTAAGAGGTAAACCTTGCTTCAGCTCAGTAAAAACCAATAAATTCGATTTTTACTGGAATCCAAGAGCAAAATTTAACAACAAGCTATAAACAAGAACTACGTTTACACCTACCGCCCTTGCCAGGTTCTGGGATTGGGCGTTCCTCCTGTTAAAAAAATACACATTGTTACAAAGAGCTACACAAAGCATAGAACCTTCTGAATATAGATACAGCAGATAACAAAACGTATTCGTACCAAGCAAAGATCGTCCACTTTACGAAGCACAGCGGAGAGATTGCTCTTGGTCGCCATTGTCAAATCGCTATGGGCACAATCAGTCAAAACGGAAGTTTTTAAACTGTACGTCCCACACGTGATATGGCAAATTCTTAGCACGTGACTACCGACGGGGTGTGACAACCTGCCGGACTACCAAATCTGTTTGGGTGTGCCAACGATTTGGGCACATTCTGCCAAGGAGTTATAGTAAAAAGGATGGGCAGGAGTCATATGAGCTCCTTGGCTTTGATACTGCGCTCTGATACTCTGCATAGCTTGTCTTCGTCTCCTCTGCAGCCGTTTTTGGGGCTGTCACGCAACTCTTCTCCCTTCTTCAGTTAGTAGAGAGAAGCGTTGTGTGACGACTCAAATAACAGGGAAAAATTAACGCCCGGGCGGAGTGTGGGGGTATTCAGCGGGCATGCTTTTAAATAATAAATATGTTGTGTAAGCGTCACGGAATATTTAAGTACCATTTACACGGATTTTTAAAGTTAATTACTTTATTTAGGTGTCATCAATTGTCATCGAATAACGGTTAAAACTTTCAAAAGTGTGCATTCGCTCAATGTTGCACACCTGGTATCATTTTTACCACTGTTTGCGAATTTATAATACTCAATTCTTTTTCCCCTCTTCTGTACATAAGTTACAATTACGCCATTGCGCGCGGATCGTCCGGCAAAAATTCATTACAATCGAATGGTAGCATTCCGAATTAAAGCGTCCAAACGTGGCCTTTTTCCGAAGCATGCTGAAGTACGTTGTTCCATCACTGTGGCAGCTGACTAAGGTTTAATTAAGTTAACGGCAAAGAAAAAAAGAAGAGTATTTTCTTAGTTTCACTTTTAGG